CATTTACTCGCATTATACAAACACTGCCTAATGCTCGCCACCCGTAACGTTGGATACGGCTACTGCCGCCTGAATGCTGGCTGCCCGCTGATGAAACAGCAACCATAGTACAGGGTAGCCAGCCGGTCTGAGAACTGGCTAACCTCCCTGTCCTTCCTTATTTATTCCTCCTCCTCCATAGATGAATTTAATGTCTATGAAATTATAATGCTGTCTACCTCTTTTTGTTTTCGGTACGCCCTAGAATTAGTGACGTCCTCTCGAGGAAGCCTCACGTTCCGCGTCAACGGCGGCCACTTCGACTTCTTCCTGTTCTGTGGACCAACGCCCCAGTCTGTCCTGGAGCAGTACCAGGGACTCGTCGGTCGGCCCAGCATGCCCTCGGTGCACACACTGCAGAACCCGATGCCCTCCGACGGACCCGTGAAGCTAGCCAACGTCGTCACCAGTGCGCACCTAGCGGTGAGCGACGAGTAGAGGAGAGAGGGAGGAAGAGAGTGACGCAGTGTTTCTCATGTGTTCCGAACATACTGTCCGCTAGACTTTGCTGTAGCGTCCATCCACGTTGTGGTACAATCGGCTGATTCGCTTCCCTGCCCTGACTCGTAATTGCAACACTGTGTACTCATTGTGCGAATCAGAGAAAGCGCGTCCACGCCGAATGTGCCACCACTTGCCGGAGCAGTCGGTGACTGAAGGAGAAAACAAGTCAGAGCGTCTGTTTCGAACAAGTAAGGCGCATAAGTGCCGAGGAACCGCCGCTTCAGATGTCACGCCAACGCGCAGCTTCTTCCCCGGTGTTCGACGTTAGTCCGTCGTTTCTTCGCCCAAGCGTGGAGGCGGGGAACGTTGGCGTATATCTTACGCTGGGCGTCTGTTTACTTTCACACTAGCAGTATTTTGATATCAGTCGCACTTCTCTTTCCAAGCCTTGCTCTTTACTGATATACGACGTCAACGGGGGTTAGAAACTATCGACGAAGAGTATATACAGGCCGAAAAAAAATGTACCCATTCGACGTTTTCATTATAATTGGTGACTCTGTTGAATGAGAGTTTGTGCTACCAACAAGAGGGCGTGCATGAGTCACCCATCGAATGCTTAGAGCAGCTAGCGAGGTGCTACACAGGGTTGCCTGACCTTGCGTCTCTTCTTTCGCAGCGCGCAGTGAATCGACTGGGCCTGTACAAGATCCAGAGAAACTTGACAATCAACATCACGCATGAGGTCGTGATCCGAGGATAGCACGGGCAAGCAACCGTACCAGTGCTACGTGAGATCCCACATTTTCAACTTTATTTTTTTCCTAAGTTGTCTAAATGATACGCGACAAATTTAAATGAGCTCTAACGAATACTTTACGAAATTGTCAAAACCTTCACACTCCCTTCTGACACGTCAGAAGTATGAAGCTTCGCGCCAAAGATGGTGTCACAAGCGCGTTTACAGTCCTCCCGAATCCAAACGCGGCGTCAAAATTCGCTAGCATAAGGACTGGCATGCGCTACTGATTCATCCGTAGACCTTAAGGCCTGACCACATGTACCCGTTGCAGTGCGCCAGCACGTGGTTTTCTGACGTGGCGATGCGCCCTCTCCTATAGAGAGAGGGCACAGGGCTACGCGAAGCTGCGTGCTCACTCTCTCCATTGGAAGAGGACACGACGCCGCGTCCCTGACCACATGTACCCGTCGCAGCGCGTCAGCGCGTAGCTTCTTTGACGCGGTGCCGCACCCCTCCCTGCGGAGAGAGACGGCACATAACTATGCGAAGCTGCATGCCCTCTCTCTCCAAGGAAACAGAGCGCGGCACCTCGGCAAAAGGCCACGTGCTTACGCGCTGCGACGAGTACATGTGGTCAGGCCTTTATGCAAATGTGCTGCCATCTAGCGGCTGCAGTGTGCACTCTCACTATGTTGAAAGCTAAGCTCACTCCTCGTGTGTTCACACCGAGTGTTCGTATCAACATCTTGCGACTCTTTGAAAGGACAATCCCGGCATATTTTCGTGTGCAGTGTTCCTCAGATTGAGTTAATTCCGCAACTGAATTAAAAAAATGAGTTTGCAGGAAACTAGCCTAAACATCTAGATTTCCTGGTGACTGATGAAAAGCGGCATACATGCGGCGACCTCGGCCCTGGTCAAGAAAAATTATTTCGTGTCATGGCGGAACGAGAGAGTTATCGTGCCATGTGCTTGTTTGTAGTACGAGCTTCACAGCTGCATCGAGGCTGAAAATCGCGCACGCCTGTGCTTATGTGGTCAACATTGCTTTGTTTGTCACATTGCGACAATAATTACATGCTCGACAGGCAGCTCGTACGCGTCGTCATTTCTCGGCGAACAGACCGATTGCGTGGGAGCATGCATGTTGTTTGCAATTTGTTTTGTAGCGTTAGCTACACTGGCCAAGCTGAGCCAATTTCGCGTGGCACTGGTCTGCGCATGCGCAATGATACTCTGCCGCCGCCGCGCACGGCTCGCCGCCGGTGTGAGCGCAATTCGATGCGCTGCGCAGATGATCAGTGGTGTCACGCACCGGAGCCGGCACCTCCTTCGCACTCGGCCGCCGCCGCGCGCGACTCGCCTCCGCCGGTGTGCGCTTTCCAGAGGAGTGCCGTCATAGTGTTGGTAGACATATGGACGCCGACGCGCGCGCCTTCCCTGTGCACTCGCCATCTGACACTTCGCTGGAGCCCCTTGATAGCGCCTCTGACTGGCATTTGCCACTGTGGTATAGCCATGGAGAAAGAGAGGGCAAATCCTGCTCAACGGTGCAGTAGAGCGGAGAAGCTGAACTCATCGAATCCCAAAGTAGTCGCCCAGCAAAATAAGTATACATGTGCCAAATATTGCGTATACCGTGTGTGTCATTGGAACAGCTGTAAGCAGGATATCTGGAAAGCTAAGAATAATCAGCGGAACCTTTGCTAACGCTACGTATATCCTGGCATAGCTGAGCTAAGTCACTGCCATTTTTGATTGTGGAGTTCAACAATGGGACGTTTGGTTTGATGGTTTCCGCACGTACGGCGCTTGATTATGTGTATTTTCCAATCAATTTATGTACTATAACTGTCAAAATTGGAACGATGGTCCGGATATCTTGACTGCCTCCTCCCCCTTGCTTTTTTATAAATCTCTATCCTAACAAAAGCACATCACCTTCTCCCGAAAGCCAACATTCTTAGTAAAAATCCTGTGTCAATCCATCTCTGCTCTAAACTGTTGTCTAATGGAACTGTAATGTCCGCTTCAACTTGATTGTTCGAGTCAAAATTAGGTCGACACGACATCATCTGAATTAATCCACGTCTTCTCAGTGAGCACATTGAAATTCTTCCTTGCCGGACACTCTATTAGGTCCTATCGTTTTTGTCCTAATGATCACCTCACTGTAAGTGCGAACGTTTAAGGCAAAGAGTCCTCAGAAAAAATGATAAAACTATTTCTTTCTCTCCCAGGATAAGTCCAACAAGGTCGTCTATTTCGTGGACTTCACACATCCGATGGCCCAGCAGCATTGGGATGCGATGCTGCAACAGTCCAATTTATCGGAAGTCCTGAACACAAGCGTTGATTACTTGGTTAGTCAATTGCTCTAATATATTTCCTGTTACGTACACAAGCGCGATTACAAAGGAAAATGAAGGGTATCTGCTGTGTGTTCTCGACCTTCCCTTTTAAAGTTTGTTTTATGATTCATCTATCTATCTATCTATCTATCTATCTATCTATCTATCTATCTATCTATCTATCTATCTATCTATCTATCTATCTATCTATCTATCTATCTATCCATCTATATATATATCTATCTATCTATATATCTATCTATTTATCTATCTATCTATCTATCTATCTATCTATCTATCTATCCATCTATATATATATCTATCTATCTATATATCTATCTATTTATCTATCTATCTATCTATCTATCTATCTATCTATCTATCTATCTATCTATCTATCTATCTATCTGTATGTCTATCTATCTATCTATCTATCTATCTATCTATCTATCTATCTATCTATCTATGTATCTATCTGTCTATCTATCTATGCATCAAGCAGCTTTTAAGATGCTCAGTTTATCTGACGAATAATGAGAAGTCCCTCAATTTGTTTATCTATTTATATATTTACTTATTGATTTATTTATCACTTGTCGATACGTTACATTTATATCGTGCGAAGCATAACTTCGGTTTCAGTTTTCTACAACGTTCAAGGGCTTCTTCGCCGCTACAATAGTATGTATGTGGCGGTGCACCCATTACAGGAGATCTATCTATCTATCTATCTATCTATCTATCTATCTATCTATCTATCTATCTATCTATCTATCTATCTATCTATCTATCTATCTATCTATCTATCTATCTATCTATCTATCTATCTATCTACCTATCTATCTCTCTATCTATCTATCTATCTATCTATCTATCTATCTATCTATCCATCTATATATATATCTATCTATCTATATATCTATCTATTTATCTATCTATCTATCTATCTATCTATCTATCTGTATGTCTATCTATCTATCTATCTATCTATCTATCTATCTATCTATCTATCTATCTATCTATCTATCTATCTATCTATGTATCTATCTGTCTATCTATCTATGCATCAAGCAGCTTTTAAGACGCTCAGTTTATCTGACGAATAATGAGAAGTCCCTCAATTTGTTTATCTATTTATATATTTACTTATTGATTTATTTATCACTTGTCGATACGTTACATTTATATCGTGCGAAGCATAACTTCGGTTTCAGTTTTCTACAACGTTCAAGGGCTTCTTCGCCGCTACAATAGTATGTATGTGGCGGTGCACCCATTACAGGAGATCTATCTATCTATCTATCTATCTATCTATCTATCTATCTATCTATCTATCTATCTATCTATCTATCTATCTATCTATCTATCTATCTATCTATGAACAGCTGTTGGAGAAACCGCGGTGCAAGATTTCCGGACCTGCCATGCTAGATGCGCCAGCACAAGGCGCCACAACAGCTGGCCAAATACGTGGGAGTGCACGACTGCACCTGTCCACGTTCGCGGACCTCAGAAATGCCTACCCGTACATGCTGGCCCAGATGACGCACAGGTGAGCAGATACATACATACATACATACATACATACATACATACATACATACCTACATACATACATACATACATACTTACATACATACATACATACATACATACATACATACATACATACATACATACATACATACATACATACATACATACATACATACATACATACATACATACATACATACATACATACATACATACATACATACATACATACATACATACATACATACATACATACATACATACTACATACATACATACATACATACATACATACATACATACATTCATTGCATACATACATACATACATACATACATACAGCGGCAAAAGTGCTAGGTCTGACAAAACGTTGCGTTTCTTAGTAATTCCAGACTGCATTCAGCTTAACTGTCGAGCAAGTACATGTTTGCCCTCTATAGAACAGCCTGAAAATAATTTAGCCTGCCAGCCGAAGCGACGGCCAATTTCGCTTTTTGTTGTACGTCATAGTTTCTGAACTTCTGACACTTACTGCACACACGTGCCGAGACAGAGGCACGGGTGTTTTTTCGAATGTTACCAAAGTACTAGTATAGGAAAGTCTTCGAGTAAGAAAAAAATTGGCCCCGTATCTCCATGTTTCACTGCAAATGAGACTTGCGTCTAAGAGAGTTAACAAAACGTATATTTGATGTTCTGCACAAGAAAATCTGTGAATTTTATCCTGAAAGCGCTGCGTTAGACAGTCTCGAACCATGCAGCGAAGGCGAACGAGCGCATTGATGCACGTTAGACACGAGTGCTATCTGACAGCTATCTTCGGAAATAAATAAAGTCGTGCGCACCCATCTTGGAGGCGATAAAGTGCAGAACGCAAAGCAACGCGCAGATGCCACCATCTTATCATCTCAGCAAAGCGTTGGAAACACTTGCTTTTTTGAGCATCGTGTTGCATTGTCTGCGCCACGTGATAAACGCTATCATCCTTAGAATTACTTATGTATGCCTTCTCTAGTGTAAAGCCCCACATACAAAATATCGACGTGTTGTTATGGTGCCTCCGATATTCGCAATAATTCCTTTTTGATTGACAATTGCACAAGTATGAACTCTGAAACTTGAGCAATATTGTGGGCGCTGCAGATGGGGTTGGCCGTTCGGGGAATCGCTTGGTGCCGTTTGAAGTACTGTTAGGACAGACAGACAGACAGACAGACAGACAGACAGACAGACAGACAGACAGACAGACAGACAGACAGACAGACAGACAGACAGACAGACAGACAGACAGACAGACAGACAGACAGACAGACAGACAGACAGACAGACAGACAGACAGACAGACAGACAGACAGACAGACAAATCAACATTTTTGCGTCGAAGTACCCCAAGAAAAACTATCGTCTTTTAAAATGTGCAAAACTAAACATCGGCACACTGAATGCGTGCGAACGCCGAAATCACGCTAACCAGCTTTTGAATAACTAAGGTGCAGTAACTAATTTCATACTGTACTTCTATATATACATTGTAGCCGGTGACCCTGCGAGGCAAGTCCATTTGAAACGATTCGTATGTATAGAACTGAATTCGTGATACAAACTGCTTATGTAACGAAACGCCACTTTTCCACGTTAAAAAAGCCCAGGTGGTCGAGATTTCCGGAGTCCTCCCCTACGGCTTCTCTCAAAATCATATCGTGGTTTTGGGACGTTAAGCTCCACATATCCATCCATCAAAAACGCCACTTTGTGAAGTGAAGCAAAGCAGTAAAAGGAACGCCTTCTTCTCTCACTCCGTATTCCGCTGCGCTTGTAATCAAGATGCTGCTCACATTCTAAAATTCACGCCATGAAAAGTTATTCTCCCTATATGTGAGGCTACAACAAAGTTCATGGAATTGAATATTGCAACAATTCGTTTGTAGCGCAGAGCTACAAAAAAAGTTCACATTGGTTTTTCGCATTGCAAAAGCAGCTCAGTTGCCCTAAAATTTGTGTTAGTCCTGAGTTCGGACCCTGGGCGAAGACTAATGTCTCGAGAACTAAAGGAGGGATGGATGACAGTCTTCTATTTTATAATAATTCTTTCACGTCGCGAGAATTCGTTGAAGGGATCTAGTCCTAAAGTGGAGGTACACCTTTCTGTTGCAGGTATGAAACTACGATGACGTATACAAGGCCGAAGCTTCTGTCTGACGCCACCTTCGCTGGTCAGGGGAAGTGGAGTGGCTACTGGCGAGCGGGAGCCCCTCGTACCTGGCAGGAACTCGGGGACACGTTGGCGGGTAAGAGCTCTGGGTTGGTGCTAACCACGTGTACACCTAAACAGTCGAGACAACGCAGCGGTGCTTGTTGGACGAGTTGGCGCAATGTACTTGAAAAGCGAAGTCCACAACAAAAAATATTACTGGCAAAAAAAGGCTAGCTTTTCCATAATGAAGAGTACATGAAAGCCTGAAATAGCTACGGGCAAAGCAGAATAGTTGGAGATGATATTGGCTAGAGCGGTCCTAATACTGGCCACAATGTTAGACGCCACGCTGCGCTGTGCACCGCATGCAACGCAGCGCCATCTATTGAAGGAGAGGGCAATCCACACTGTGCAACCGTTGCCTCCAATAGTACCTCCTGCTGCGCGCAGCCTCTGACGTTGATATGAACGCAAGTGTGGCGCTCGTGTTTGAGAGAGAAAGCGTAATGCGCCCTGCGCGTGTCTTTGGAACGTCGACATTGGAAACATCGGCGAGAATACTTGATATCGCAGAACAAAACAAGGACACGCAAAGGCGTACAAAGCACGATGATCCCTAACCTTGTAAATTCACTCCAGACACGTTATATTCGTGGCCACTGACGTAACATGTCATTATTATTATTAATATTATTATTATTATTATTATTATTATTATTATTATTATTATTATTATTATTATTATTATTATTATTATTATTATTATTATTATTATTATTATTATTATTATTATTATTATTATTATTATCATCATCATCATCATCATCATCATCATCATAGGTGGGAGATGAGTTTCTCGTTTCGGGAACACTGGTACTGAAGCACTGCCTTTGCAAACGCAGAGATGCTTACGTTTGGCCTGCTGGGCGTCCAAATGTACGGCGTCGGTGCCTGCAACCTGGCGGACGTGGCGAGAGAATCGGAGGCCGAGCTCTGTCTGCGATGGTTTTCCCTCTCGACGTTCTTCCCCGTTCACCAAAGTCTCGGAAAGGTATGTCAGAGCGTTCTTTTTCGCTGCTGTCTCAGTACTCGCGAAGGATAGAACGATATCATTGCATGTAGTATTACCCGTCGCTAGGATGGCACGCCGTTGGGGAAGTATACAACGCTCATGCAAGAAAATGCGTCAATTAGGCACTAAGTATTGTGCATATTTTTACAAGAATCTTTATGCCGTAGGGTGTCGCTTGAGCGAACGCTATGATTAGTGATCTTGTTTTTCAAGTGCAGTGTTCTTTTTCAAGTTTTTTTTTAGGGGCGCAGCTCCTTATGGCGTGGCTTGTGCGTCCCTCGTAGTACGTAACCACCAGTGGCACATACCCGAAATAGCGGTCCTTACAATGTCTGCTGGATGGGGGCACTTGTATATGATGAATAGATGATTAAAAGATGTGAGATGGCTGTGCTTGGAGTTTTCACTAGACGTATGGACGGAAGAACAGACTGACATACGCACGGACGGACAGATACAGGGATGGCCGCAAAAAGAGATGGACGGACAGACAGACGAATGAACAAACGGACGGATGCACCAAGGATCACACAGGTAGGCGGACGCAAGAACAAATGGACAGACAGACTGACGAACGCTGCGCCCCACCAATCATCATTCACTCCGTGGATATGCTGTGATTTTTTTCTTGTTATTCGACCACCTTGATGATGATATCAAGTTAGGTGGATATCAAGTTTGGCAGCCCTGGCAGTCGTAGGCTGTCACTGCTTGGCGTAACAAAAACGACAACGCGTATAGCATCGCAATATGAACGCATGCTCACACCAAGAAGTCTTCGTCCTGTTGTTCTTCGAACACTTTGAGCATCATAATTGCTTAGCACTTAAAGCGTCTGGGTTGTCGTATACTGTGGTATGCTGTCGTCGCTTAGTTGAATAAGTTGAATGATCGAATCAAGGAATGAATTATTAAGGCGTTGGATACTCTACCAACTGAGCTGTAGCAGCGGTCATGCCCTTCATCGTGTGCATTTAAACCTTGAAATGTTAGTCCGCGCCACTAGTAGCCATTACAGCTAATGCGAAATCTTCTTTTGTGCCGACTGGCGTCACGCGAAGCCCGTGATCCAATTAGGAGCAGACGCTGACCAATTGTCCTGTGCATAGTACCTGAAACAAAGTTTCTGCAGTGTGCTTGACGATGTGCGCTCATAAAACGCTGACTACTTCTCCAGATGCTCGTATCTTTAACAAAGAGGCTATTCATAGTCGGGTCTTTCATGTCCGGTGTCTTCGTGAATTGTAAACGGTTTTGGCCACATCGTCGTCATCATCATCATCATTAGCCTGACTGCACCCACCGCAGGACTTCCCCATGTTCGGCCAGTCAACTCGGTCCTGTGCTTGCTCCTGCCACTTTGTACCCGCAAACTTCCTAATCTGATCGGCCCACCGAACTCCCTGTCTCCTCCTCACCCGCTTGTCTTCTTTTGAAATTTAGTCTGTGATCCTTTACGACCAGCGGGTATCTTGCCTTCTTTCCACGTGCCCAGCCCATACTGAGAATACACCCAACCATTATGCATAGCCTTCGTAGATTACGAGAAGGCATTTGATTCAGTAGAGATATCAGCATTGATGCAGACACTGCGCAACCCAGGCTTCAGCCAAGCATATATAAACATCCTGGAAAAATGTGCAGGGGATCAACTGTCACCACAGTGCTCCACAGAATACACCAATAAAGAAGGGTGCAATACAAGGGAATACGATTCCCCCATTTTCCATAGCAATTGGGTAAATCCCACTACGAATTTGTGCCACAGCTCCCACGACTCCCACTACTTTCACATGTCCGCCTCGGTGCATCAATGGCTACGGCGCTCGACTGCTAGCCCGAAGGTTGTGGGTTTGATCCCGGCCGTGGCGGGTGCATTTAGATGGAGGCGAAACCGTCGAGGATCGTGTACTGTTCGATGTCGGTGCACGCATAAAAATAACAGATGGTCGAAATTTCCGGAGCCTTCCTCTATGGTGTCTCTCATCATCATATCGTAGTTTTGGGACGTTATACCCCAGATATTACTATCACATCTCTTCACTGCGTACGATGGTACTGCCGCCACTCCTCCCACTTCATTCACCCACTTATTGCAACTTCGTTACAATCCCGCTTAATTCAACCAGCAAAATAGACGAAGCGAATGCTTCGCTTTTTAAGCTAGCAACTTCGCTGTTTCATAAATGTCCTCCAAGCAGAGCTGCGCGCATTTTTTAGGAGCGAAACTTCTCAGGGCCGCACTCAGCCGCCGCCGCCGAAGCTCCCGGCGCCGGGCTCGCGTGCCGAGCCAAACAACAGGTGCGCCCTCCCGGCGAGTGGTAAAGCGTAGGAGCGGCGGCAGATGGCTCGCGCGGCGCCGCGAGCGCCGCACACTCACTTGCTCAGTCGTTCCCACTACCAAGCGAGGCAAACGCTCCCTCCATCCGCTCCCCACGCTACCGCTTACACAAAAGCCAGCCGCCAGATCAAACGCATAGTCACTCGCGTGCCACTTGTAAGAAGCTTCGCTCATAGGTTGTATTCGTACACGAAACAACTGCAAGTATTTTTTTCTATTTTTCACTTCCTTTAATGTTCTTGTTCCTCCTTTCTGCGCATGCACCAGGGGACCACTGCTATCCAGAGGCGCGTGACAACGCAGGCGTTGAAGGCCACCGCTCTGCGGCGATTCTTGCTGCCGTACGCCTACACTCAGATGGTGAAGGCGGCGTGCGGCGGAGGCACGCTGTCGCGGCCTACCTATATCGAGTGAGTGTTTTGCCCATATTCTCATTTTCTACGCTACTATGGCATGCAAGAATTAAATTCGGATGATAGTGATATAAGCTCAGATATAAGCTCACTACTAACGCTGGCAGGCGGCAAACTGCAAGGAATCTGTGCGAAGAAGAAGCTGCACGAACCCTACACGTACTCAACGAGTACCATTTTAATCTGGTAATTCAAATTCATTGTCGTTTCGTTAAGTTAAAAGTTAGGTTTTCAAAAATATTCCCATCAGGTTAATACAGAAGTCTCGAATACAGGCTCAAATGCTTATTACTTGTAGTTAAATTGAATATTTTACGTATTATTGGCATTTTATTTCTCTATTTTTGGTTTTAAATTTCATGTCTTACCTAAAATAACATTTAACAGTCTCTACGCTGCATTCTTGGCCAATCCTCCAAAGTGGGTACGTGCCATGTATCTGGGAAAGCAAAGAAAAGCAAAGCCTACACATGTTTTTCTAGCTAGTCTGCAATAGTTTCATTATGCTCTCAACTATTTGACGCCTAGACGCCTAAAGGAAGCTTCCAAACAAAGTGAAAAAACAATGACTCTTATACTCGTGCCGTGCTCACTACCACTCATTTTTACGCTTCTATGTCCGATTTAGCGCTATCCATGACTTCTCTCACAATCTGCTTATCAACTTTTCTCATCTCTCTATTTCTATCTCGCTTTTCTGTACCACAGTTTTCCGGGGGATCCGAAGACACACGCGCATCCCAAGCAGTTCATGTTCGGACCAAGCCTCCTGGTCGCTCCACAGATGGAGGCGGTTAGTATGCGAAAGGAATTCTGAGGTTAACGAGATTAAGCCAAGCTATATAGTAGAGCATTTTGGGTGTTCAGTCTGAGATGAGTCGCGTAGTCCTGCGTTGGTTTTACGCCTTCACTGTATTCTGAGCACGGCAATGGGCCGCATCTTCACTGTTTTAATGTTATGGTCTTGTTCTATGATCAATTGATTGTTGGATTTAACGTCCCAATAGAAACATATGATTAGGAGGGTTGTCCTAGGAGAGGGCTCCGCAAAGTTCGCTTATCGGGAGTTCCTCAGCTCGCGTCTAAATCTAAGTACGCAGGCCTCAATCATTTCTGGCTCCATCGAAAATGCGGCCCACGCGATCGAGATTCAACACCGTGACCTTCGGGTAAGCAGAGGAGTGCCACACCCCCGTGGCGGGTGTTTGCCCTTATTCTTTTTTTGTTGGGAACATTAGTACATCCATAAAAGTAAGATAATATCTGCAATTAGCGTTCTCTCCTCTACGCTGTATTATCATTCGGATGATGCACCCGCAATGTGAGCAACGTATGCCTAAGTGTCCCACTGCTAAACTCGCAAGGCAAGCCTCGTAACCATGTCGTAATTTTAACATGAAAAGTGAAACACAAGAAACGATTAACAGGCCACGTTTGCGGTAGTGACATTTCTGCGACAGGCGTAGGTTGCAGAATAGTGCTGACTACAAATTCTAACCGTAATAATAGCGAACCGATCCCCGCAGGCTTCGACTCTGCTGGAGGTGTACTTTCCGGCAGCCCAATGGTACGACTGGTACAACAGCAGGCGCGTCGACAGCCGCGGCCAAGTGGTTTTTGTGCCGTCCCCGAACACCACCGTTGCCCTGTTTACCCGAGGCGGCAGCATCATAGCGGGCAGGGCACTCAACCGGTATGTGGGGTACTAACATGGACAGACAGACAGACAGACAGACAGACAGACAGACAGACAGACAGACAGACAGACAGACAGACAGACAGACAGACAGACAGACAGACGACAGACAGACAGACAGACAGACAGACAGATAGACAGATAGATAGATAGATAGATAGATAGATAGATAGATAGATAGATAGATAGATAGATAGATAGATAGATAGATAGATAGATAGATAGATAGATAGATAGATAGATAGATAGATAGATAGATAGATAGATAGATAGATAGATAGATAGATAAACTTAGGCGAGAAAAATAAGGGAAAATAAGAAATACGAACGTGTGCAGACACCTTTTTAGCTCATTCGGAAACTTCGTTGAGTAATTGTTATAGCGCATTATGTAGCCTTAAACTTGAGAGACTCGGTAGGTAGTGCCATCTGGCGGCGCCGAGATGAACCAGGAATGCACGAATGTCTTATCGCAATTCTTAAAGTCGGCGTAAATCTGAATCAGCTGCTTTTTCAAACTTTTTTTTTTCATTGACACTCGGCGAAAACAAAAGTATCAATAATTGTGGTTACACGAAACATCACCTCCTCATCAGCCTTCAATACTGTAAAGTTCATAACTGTAAACTGCAATACTTTAAAGTTCGTGTAAAGTTCTGTAAAGTTCATTTGGTGCACCGGACTAAAACACGAGCTAGAAACCTCTTTACCTTAGAATATGATTAGCCTCATGAAACGAAAACGGTATACGCACCGTGATTCGGTAGATTAGAAAGTCATTAACGCGGCGTGTTCGCCACACTGCAATTCATTTCAGTAAAATGGCGTTTTGCTTTTTTTTTTTAGCTCTTTAACCGACATTCACCTCATAGTATCGCCGGACAGCTCGGACTACGCGTACGGAGAGCTCGTCATCGATGATGGTGTCAGGCCAGGTGAGACACTTGTAGACGTTAATCAATGGCCGCCTAATACCTGTGTATAACAACTAACTTGTAAGGTACTGAAACGCTACTTATTTTATTTGCGTGTTCACAATGCAACTATAACGTCATCGAGACATGCACACCTTGCCTGTTTTAACGAAGGGGGCTGGAGTTGTGACATTTGTGTCTGGATTGATGATTGTTATGTGGGGTTTAACGTCCCGAAACCACCATGTGATAATGAGAGACACCACAGTGGAGGGCTCCGGAAACTTCGACCACCTGGGGTTCTCCAGCGTGCACCCAAATCTGAGTACACGGACCTACAACATTTCCGCCTCCATCGGAAATGCAACCGCCGCAGCCGGGATTCGATCCCGCGACCTGCGGGTCAGCAGCCGAGTACCTTAGCCACTAGGCCACAGCGGCGGGGCCTTGTGTCTGGATTTGTAGGAAGAGCTGTAAGGGCCCGGCGTTGTGAACGGGGCGTACAGCCTTAACTGCTGTCTGTGTTTTAGTTTTGGTTTTTATAGTTGTGTTCATTATGCTTGCAACGCGCGACTATTATATCTGACCAATGTGTGGTGTAGCTGCCAATATATATATTTTTATCACACATATTTCAAGGTAACACATCATGCCCGTGATGTTTTATTGTGGCATAAGGATGTCTGTATGATACGATTTTCTTGTTCTTGTCCACATCGTTGTCACAGATGCGTGGTGCACGCCCCCGTCAGGCTGCTCAGTTTTTCTTAGCTGCTATCTCCTTGTAATCGACGTAAATAAAGCCAAAATTTTAATATAGGAAAGTTGGTTAAAGTTAACCAGTCTCCGTATCATTCTCGTAGCACCATTTCCGATGTCTTAATTGTCACCGCCCTGTCAAATTCCATTCGCAAACGAGCACATCCTAGATTTTCGTTCATAATATGCTGACCCAGTTTGTCCCAAAAGGGCGAATACGTAATCAGAATTATTAGGGTTATTTTTATCAGTCAGCATTCGTTTATCGTTTATCAGTCAGCAAATTTTGTATTTTTCTCCATTGTGCGTCCCCTCCGGCTTGTAACGGAAGTCCAGTGCGTCTTTGCGGAAACGTCAGTCGCATAAATAGTGGTGGCGACCTATCCTACCATTTTTTTTCTTTTGCAATTTTTCGTTTAACCTAGTGCGTTCTCTTTTTTCTTTATTCACAGGAACATTTTTGACCGGTCGCTACTCCATGTTTCACTTCTCCTACATGAAGGTAATTTAAGTGTAACTTTGATCGATTGTATCCGCAGCTTTTTAGATGTATAGCCACCACTTTGTGAATGTATATATCTTATATTGCTATTTGGTTATTTCCTTACTGTACCCTAGCGGTCCGACGACCTGAGGGTACAGTAAAGTGATAAACAGGAATTGATATAACACTATTGGGTTGTAACTCTATACAGTAGGCAATCAGTGGGGTAGTAAAAACACAGCAAGACATATATTACTGCGTGATTAGGTAATCTTCTGTGCAATGAAGGGAAAGTTCTAATATCAACGAACAAGGTAACACAATATCAATTCCGGTACACACAGTGCAAGCTCGTTTGTGCTGAATAGCTGGACAGCGAAACGATGAATTTAGCAATAACGACCTTGACGCGGTAGTGGAGGGCAGCGTACCTACTTGAGCTCTGCCACTTTTTATGTTTAGGCTCCCTCACAAGTTGACAGCATTTGCCATGTGTTTCCTGGTTTCATTAAATCATCCGCGTGGTTCGTTTTCCAATCCTCTTCAGTTATACCACCGGGCAAACTGCACTTCACTTTAAGCAGCTCCCAGCCAGCCTTTCTTTCATTGTTTTTTCTTCTTGATGCAGAAATGTTCCGCCGGCATCCGCTGCCGGCATTTTCATGACGCGCTTATACGACTTCTTGCTGTAGATATGACCTATGGTCGTCAATAATCGCGTTTGTTGTTTCTTTTATTAGCCCTGCTCCTGCGGCGTTTTACTTTTTCGCTTAATACGGGCAGAACATCTTGACATAATTCTCCTTCTACCCTCCTCTAGCCACACATCCTTACTTGTTGAGCCAGATGAAAATCCACCTCATTCGACCGAAACGTGCGCACGTAATTTTCAGCGACGTTCGTAATAAATCCATACTCCCAAGTCTTTCCTCAAGACTTACTCCGCTGATGATGGTGATGGTGGTGGTGGTGATGTGAGGCCGCTCCCTTTCTGCCAGGCAAGCAAATCTAATGTGACCTAAACCCGGAGGATCAAGCAACACCTCGGGAAGGTAACGGAGGCTGCACCACTTTAATACTTCGCAGCAGACCTTGGGAAATGTTGTAGAATATTAAGTCGACGTATTGCACATGCGCTTGATTTTTTACAGACACGACCGATTAAGTCTCAATGATTGAATTGAACAAATACGCTACGGATTAATCGCAAATGCGGCAAACCAAACAAGAAGGCAATATTTGTATTTTATTTCACAATGTTATTTGAAGCCATTGCGTTGGCTGCCGTAGATCAAAAACGTGCCGGGACGGATATGTACAGCCTGTTGACGCGTGTGTCCCTTACGACATAAATGAAGAAACTATACTCTTCATATTGTACTTCAATGCTACTATATTAACCCAGCGGGACATGGCAGAGGCGAGCTTCCTTCAGAGGCTTGGAATCATAAAGTGAACGGACGTGTTAACTGTTCAGCCGTCGAACACACATTATTCTTACACTGTCGAGCGGAAAATGCAAAGCACGTGGTGGTGAAATCAAAGTCGCTAGAGGCATAGATGCGTCCAACAAATTGAGGATACAATAAATAACAATAAATTAATGAGCATATTATTCAATAATGAAGTAACGTGGCGAGGAAGGCTTCACAGAGACCATGGAAAATACAAAGAGTGACACAGAACCCGGAGCTTTGTGTATTAGACTGTTTCCCTTCGCGTGGTAGCTGCTTTGAATCCCTATAAATAGTCTATGCTATTCCATCTTGTTAAAAAAAGTAAATAGTCCGGATGCCAGACGGCTTAACGCCGAGTGGTTCCTTCCCACGACAAGCAAGCTGTAGGCAGGGGGCTGCCTCTCGTCACCCTCGCCTTGAAAAGGATCTTCAATAGAGATCATCATCATCTACAGGAGTTTCGTTGGATATGGTCGAGTATTAGCTGAGAGCCTGGTAGTCCGAGTGTTTCTTTTCCATTCAGTAATCGCTTAAGAGCTTTCTATAACGCACACGGTGCGTCTAATCACGCGATTCCAGGGCATCCTGACGGGCCACTGCTCGTCATGCAAGTGGAGCGCGACCCTCCGAGCGGCCACGGTGTTTGGCGTCCCGGGTCCAGGCCCAGCTCGCGTAGTACTCAACGAGAGGCCGCTCAAGTTCGCCTACGCGCGGGAGGTGGGTTCAGATCATCAGCAGATTTCGGTCTCGTCACTTGCGGTCTTGGGTCACGTCAGGCAGGCGGGAGTAGCCAGCTAACCTAGACGAGAGAGGGCAGCACTGGACTAGAGGCCGCAATCATCAAGCTGACCGTCTTTTGACCCAAACCCTTACTAATAAAGTTCCTCTAACGTTTTAAGCATGCACTGAACCATAGCCGCAACAATTCTAGTTTGTTCTTTGGCAACGCTAGTTACGTTTTATTTATTTATTTATTTGTTTGTTTGTTTGTTCCACACTCATATCCACATCACCATTGTGAGGGGTGGGGGTTTATACACATAGAGTTTATACATCTCACATTTCAGGAATATTGGTAGAGAAAAAAACTACAGAATTTTAACCATGATTACTAAGGACAAATCATGGCATTCATTGTTACCAATGCACACGAATGTCGTAAAGATCACCTAACCTAGACAAAGAGAGAAAAAGAAGAATTAAGTTATACTGCACAAACATAAGAAATACAAAAACTATGTCATAAGGACAAAAACATTCCATAAAAATTAATTACAGCCGAAACCGGAACAAGGTGTCAAAAAGCGGCCGCAAAACTTTCGTTATCTAGTATGCTTACCGTGTGCGCAGGCAGAAGATTTCATTCAGAAACTGTTTTAGGGAAAAAAGAGCTTTTAAAAAGATCAGTCGTGTAGGAGTACTTTCTAACCTCAAGTTCGTGATTTTTTCGTCTTGATATATAAAGAGACTGAAGAATGTACTGATTACGGTCTATTCCAATGTAGCCGTAATATATATTGCGAAAAGCTGCGGCAAAAAAAAAGTGGCTTGACACATGTTCGTGCTGTTCTCGTGATTTTTCGGTCTCTCGTCTCAATGCTGCACGTTGGGTTCTCTCGCTGTCGCTTTGCAGACGCTGTACCTGTTCGACATCGGTCACAAGCTGCGCCAGCCTTTCGCCATCACGGCTGCAAGGGTCTGACGAGCGCAATAAACAAGCTCGCAACATTAGTTTGCCAAAGGCCTACAGTTTATAAACACCTTTATGCCCAATTGTTGTTAATGAAGCCCTCAGTGTATGCTGTAATAAACGCCCAATATGAATAGTTTATCGGACGTGTGTGTATGTAACCTGTAGTGTTCTGTAGAAAAGCCAGGCTTTTCAATCAACGAATCAGGAATTCGTGTTAACGACCTCACTGGAACGCATGGTGAATGGTACATTCAGGAAAAGGCTCCAAGGCTTGTACTCATGAGAGAGAGAGAAGAAACCTTATTGACTCTGAAAACGCCAGGAACGGGCAGAGGGAAGCTTGCAACAAAAAAATTCTTAACAGTGGTTGTGTCGAGCCGGCGTTTCCACAAAAGGGCTTTTCTTCCTCAAGGCTAAAACAGAACTAGGCTTGAGGAAGACAAGTCTTGAGGTAACAAGCCTTGAGGAAGACAAGGAAGACAACAGAACTGTTCTAGCCTTGTGGAAAATAAGTCCACTTGTTGAAACATCGGATTGACGTAACCACTGTTTAGACATTTTTTTTACCAACTCTATAGTAACTGATAAAAGACCTAAACAGCGACAAACTTTAACCGCATGCAAGACTAACTCTTAGTTTGGCACTGAACAGTAAGGCGAGTCTGTAAGTATTTTGTAATCGTTGCAGCGCGAATGAAAGCAGAGAGAGTGGGATAAATAGAGAGGAAAGGCAGGGAGGTTAACCAAGGTTGGCTCGCTTGGCTACTCTACACTTGGGGTGGGGGAAAAGGAGAATAATAGAACGGAAAGAGATAGAAAAGAACAGGAGTAAGAAAGAGAAGCATGAATAGCCAGCTCAAGATTACATAGCACGGTCTCGCACAGTTCTTTCACAAGCGGTCGTGAAGTCTGGTTGTCCTTAAAAAGTACAAGAGGGCTTTCGTGGCTTTGCGCGTATGGGAAGCCGTCGGCCAAGGTCCCAGAATATTCTCTTCTGTAGGCGGCCGTAAATCCAGCTGACAGAGCTTGGCTTCCATAATACGTCGTTCGGTCTGGTATGCTGGGCAATGACATAGAATGTGCTCAAGCGTTTGCTCGCAGGCGCAGCAGTTGCATGCCGAAGTGCTCGCAATTCCAAGGAGACGAGAATACGAATTCGTAAATGCCACGCCCAACGTCATGCGACACAGTAAAGTTTCAGCACATCGTGGGAGCCCGGATGGCAAAAGAATTTGCGAGTTTGGGTCGATCGAATACAGGCGCCAGGCGCGTGTTGAAGAAACCCTGCGTATTCCATTTTAGGAGAGATATACGGTGAGCAAGTGATTGTAGTAGCCTTGCAGCGTCCGTTCTCAAGAGTGGTATGGGCGTGCGCTGGTCTTGGTCATGAGCCGATCGAGCAGATTCATCCGCGCGGTCATAGCCGACGATTCCACAATGACTCGGCAACCACTTAAATACAATATCGTGACCTTCCTTGAGCGCTTCGTGGTAGTCGTGCCTTATCTGATATACTGATTGTTCGTGTAACACGTGCTGCATAACAAACCGTAGTGACTGTAAGGCTCTCCTGGAGTCGCAAAATATGGCCCATTGGTTAGGTTGCTGCCGAAGAATGTACTTTACTGCACCTTGAAGTGCTGCGAGCTCTGCTGCTGTCGACGTCGTAGTGTGAGAAAACGTGTACTGAAGCAACACATTTTCAGATGGAACAACCACTGCTCCTGTAGAGCTGTTGTAATTAGTGGAGCCATCGGTGTAAACATGTATGACGTCGAAGTACCTTTCGTCCAACAGACGCAAAGTCAATTGATTCAGGGCTAGCGTTGACATGCGGGCCTTTTTAACGATTCCAGGAACTGATAAGCGCCCGTCAGGTTGACGAAGACTTCATAGCGCAGCTGCTGGATGCATCGCAAGTTTGAAGCCAGGCGGCAGTATGTCCAGATGTTTTGTCACAATACCGCAGTACGAAGAATGGGGCCTCCGAGCTGTCAAACACGCTAAATGATGTGACGGTAGCCGTGATAAATGCCGAATGTGCGCTCTCAGCGTCTCGACAAAGATATGCGTTGTGACTGGTTGTTCTTGTGCAATAACAATAGTTGACACTGTCGATGAGCATCTTGGAAGGCCAAGGCATGTACGAAGTGCTTGGGCTTGTACGCTTTGTAGTGCACGGATGTTAGTCTTGCACGTGTTGGACAAGACAGGAAGGCTGTACCAGAGAGTTCCGAGAAAGAAAGCTGTGTAAAGCTGCAACATGGAGTGCACGGATCGGCCCCATGATTTTCCGGCGACGAACTTGAATACATTCTCAATACCAATGAGCTTTTTCTTCAGGTATGTGACATGCGGGCTCCAGGTTAGGTCACGATCTACGATGACACCTAAGAATCTATGAGTGCTCTTATATGAGATTGATCTGCCATCGATGCACAATGGGTAGAAAGACATCGGTTTGCGTGTAAACGCCACCGCTGCGCATTTTTCTGTGGCGATAGTCAAACCTTGCTGGCGAAGGTATGCCGATGTCATTAATGCCGCTTTCTGTATTCTTGCGCGCACTTGAGGCCGTGTCACGCCGGACGCCCAAACGCAGATATCGTCAGCGTAGAGAGATATATAAGCCATCTGTGGCAGCATTTCGGTGAGCCCCACGAAAACCAGGTTGAAAAGAGTCGGACTCAAAACACCACCTTGTGGCACCCCACGACTTGTGAAATATTTATTCGTAGACCAATCTTCAGTTAGAACGAACATGGATCTCTTTGTGAGGTAGCTTCTTACCTATCGAAAGACACGACCTCCAAGTTCAGCTGCTTCAAGAGCATTGAGAACACCCTCATGGGTCACGTTTTCGTAGGCACCCTTCACGTCTAAGAACAGAGCTACCGACAGCCGCTTCTGAGCTTTCTGATGCTGAACAGAGGTCACTAAGTCAACAACGCTATCAACTGAGGACCGACCTCGTCAAAAACCACCAGCCATAGCATCAGGATAGATGTTATAATGTTCCCGGTACCATTACATGCGTGTAAGCAGCATCCTCTCCATGACCTTGCCAACGAACTTGCTAGTGCTATAGGCCGGTATGATGCCAAATCGAATGAAGACTTTTCGGGCTTCAGCAAAGGCACCAGGCGACTACACTTCCACTCATCAGGCACCATTCCATCATGCCAAGACTTATTGAAAATGTCCAGGAGACAGCGCTGTGCCTTCGGGCCTAGGTGACGTAGGGCAGTATAGGTCACTCCATCCGGACCTGGGGACGATGAGCGTCTGCATGTGTTCAATGCCGCATGAAGTTCTTCCATGGTGAATGCAACCTCCATTTGCTGATCTCGTGCGACTGGAACATCCTGTGGCAATAGATCGATTGGTATAGAGATGTCGCCGGCGATCTTTGCACAAAATTCACCAGAAACATCAAGCTGTGAGCGACGTTGATGTAGCGCCAGAGCGGTGAAGGGATGACGCTGTTGCGGATGTGAGTGAATACCTCGATGTCACTGGTCCCGTTAATTAGGGAGGCGATCGCTGGGCTAATTCCAAGGGCCGAAGTATCGGCCCCCCGAACCGCGCCACGAAAGCGTGGACAATTTAGAAGTGGTCCTATTTGGCGCCCCAGCGGACGCTGACTGTGGCCCAAAGAACAAGTCAGAGCCGAGAGTTGATAAACAAAACAAAATTATATTCTCAGTTATGGTAGATCGAAAACGATACACAAGTATGCACACTCGACAATAGTTGAATACAATATGACACCAATCAAACAAGTAATACACAGTAAAATCAGCCACACTCGAAACAATGGACACGCACTACAATGCAGTCGCATGCATCGAACAACCAAGACACTTAAAGACTAAAGAGTTAGAAAACTTATTCAGTCCAAAGTTCTTGGAACAAAAGTCTGAATGATACTCTTCCGAGAATCACTCACTCAAAGTCCAGCGTTGTTGTCGTTCCGCTGCCCCCGAAGTTTCTCTTCCAGGAAACCTCGCGTCTTCACTTGGCCGCTGTCCAAGCTTCAAACCTTCTTCGCCGGAAACACGTCGGCTTCCCACACGCAGCTGTTGCCACGCGTCTTCGCTCGCTAGCGGTAGACACACACTCTTGCCTGTAGCTCGAGTCTTCACCCCTCAGGTGGAAATCCTCTTCTTCTCCTCCTTTGTCACGGAAGACGAAAGGCTTCGCCCACAAGGCGGATTACCCTACGCACTCTGTGCATACTTTCTTCTTCTCCTGCTTTGTCACTAAGGACAAAACCTTCGCCGACAGACGCGGCGGTATACCCTACGCACTCTGGCGTTAACTTCCTTCTTCTGCTGCTTTGTCACTAAGGACAAAACCTTCGTCGACAGATACGGCGGAATACCCTACGCACTCTGGCGTTCACATCCTTCTTCTGCTGATCTCCCATCTCTGCTGCTCGGTTAAATACCTTCCGCGCGCTATTCCAGAAAATTCTCATCATTTAGTCGGCGCGATGTGCAGCGAAGGCTGGGGGAAAGCGCGAGGCGGTACGAGGGTCGTCCGCGACGGATGACGCAACCCGGCATCACCACGCCCCTTTCCATCGAGAAATTTCCAGGCCTTGCTCGGCCGCCGATGTGGGGTGAGGAGGTTCATCGGCGAACCTGAGCTTCCGAGGGGAAAGGGACGCGTGCCCGGGGAGTCTTTGGATGCTTGTTTTCTTTTTTATCGTTGACCTCGCGGCGTCACTCCGGCGTTTCGTCGCGAGAATTTGGCGGCGCGCCCTTTTTTGAGCGCTCGTTTTGTGGCACTGCCCCCCACTTTAAGAATATGATCTCATAATATTCAAAACCACACAAACGAGCGCGAACATTCCCCACACTCTCAAAGACTGTAACATAGTCCATCGCTCATGACACGTCACATTCACAATAGATCACTCAATACAATTGTACATTGTAATTCAATCACACAACACATGAATATAGCCACAGGTACATGAGTACAACACTCCATCCCATATTCCA